AGAAATTCAAGAGGTCGGAAGAGCGAGGCGTGTGGAATTCACAACCACCTGAGGAGGAGGAGAGCGCATGCCCTCTCTTCATCAAACTACAACATACGTGGACTGGCTACGTACCAGGCAACTCCCAAGATACTATATACTATATATGATCCTCTTGCCAAGAGTCGAAGGTGGTCTAAAGTCTTCAGATTCAAAATGATGCTACTAGATAGTTTTTTTTTATTTGACAGATCTTGAGATTGATGGGATCACCGTAGATGATATCATTGCTGATGATATGTTCCACCACCTAGCGGCGCCTTGTGTTTGTGTTCAACTCCATCACTCATGGCACCTCACCGTGATGTGATGACGGGCGTGTAAACCTTCTAGCTTCTTCTTAATGTTCTCGAAAAAAAGATATGTTCAAGAGACAATCATATGCGTTATAGATTAGATCCACAAGTGCGTCAAAATACGATGCAAGAGTCATTGATGCAAGAGTCATATAATGGACCTCTAGGAGTATGTAGAAGCCAGTGCTAGAGGCGACACAAGGTTCAACCATTCTCAACCCTAGCTAGTCGCCACCTCCTCTCAGTATCCCCACGACACCCCTGGCCATGCGTGCGCTGTGGTGCATGGCATTCTATCCCTGCAGCTGCAGTGCGTGTGGACATTGTGAAGATGATGCTATTGACGTTGCGCTATTGATCGGCGGTGACTGCCAATACATGAGGGGACTTACTTCCTATATACTGACGCTTACGACGCTGTAATGGGCTGCTCCAACGACTCTTCTTCCACTGCACTGCACGTCTATATCTTCTACTCGCATGAGACCTCTTGGTTGAACGCGGTAGACATTTTATTCTATACTAGCATAGCATATATCCATCCATTCCCTGTACAAGCAGGTAGTTAGATAGTAGGTAGTAACCAAATACATTGATCAAAGTTTACTCGTGTATATTTCAAGGATCCATCGATTAGAGGAGGCGCATGTCTCAACGTTTGCTAGCGACTCTCCACACATTCGTCCTACTCCTATATGTGAACTACTAATGTGATCAGATGGATGGATATATAACAAAGAAAAGGGAAGGCTCCGGCGTCGTTGTCTTCTTCCAAACTTTGGAAGAATAGGGTCCAGTACGTCAGTGTTCAGGTCGGACCCCAACATAAAACGACTTCTCTACTAGCTAGTAGACCTTCACCAACCAGTTCTCATCTCTGCTATCCCTTCCTGATCGATGGACCCTAGCTGCTAATAATAAGCTCCTTGCTAGCTCTTGGCCTCTTCCTATCACTCAATAACAAGTTACCCCTCTCTCCCAACCTTTATATAGACCATCCAGGGCTGCACCTTTATTTGTTCATCACCTGCACTGCACTACCGTCAATCCCACGAACTCTTATTAGCTTCATGGTTGCACCTGCTGCTATATATATAGCTACTAAATTCATCCCCATAGCTTGAGGATTGATCGGTGCAGATCATCCTTAGATCCATGAACTAATCCTGCTAGCAGCAATCAATACCCTAGCTATAGGACGATCGATCGACTTCACCATGCATCAAAAGTCCATCCAAGAGGCTAACGAAATCGATTGGTGTGCGACAGATATCAATATATCTGAGCTATATATATAGCTTGTGAGACCTTCACAAGGAGGTTCGACACTAATAGCTCTCACTCAGTTGTTGTTTTTTCCACCACCTATTTTGCTTCCATCTAGTTACTCTCAATCTTTATGTTCATAGCAGCATGTCCCAAGAGTTGTAGTTGTAGCTAGTATGCATGCATGCATATCCTCCATCCAGGACGGTTGAGATGATGGCTTGCCGATCGATACAAGTTTCTTCTTCTTCTTTTTTTCTTTACTTTGGGTTTGTTTCTGGATTTTTCCTTTAGTTTTTTCCATCACCAAGTAATTAACACGGAACATAGGGTACATACTTTCTATGTACTAGAACAGAAAGGGCTACAGAGAGCTAAGATAATTATGGGTCGTCCTAGAGATCGGAGGATGATATATATGTATGTATATGCAGGTATCTATATATAATAGGCAATTTTTTTAAAAAAATTGTATGCTAAACGAACTTCCAGTTGAAGGTTTTTAGAAGGAGGAATGGTTTTTTGTTCTAGCTTCTGCACAAGGCATGCACTACTGTAATTGTAAGTCAGCATGCCAACAGTCAACAGATAGCAGAAGGATTTAAACATTGGTAAAAGGAATTAAAGAACTAATCGACCTGTATACTTTTAGGTTTCATTGAGCATGGGATATCTGTGGGTAAACTAATTAAGTCGGTAATTAAATACTCTCTCCGTCCTAAAATAAACCAATTTCAAAAGTTGTCTTAAGCCAAACTTTTTTATGTTTGACCAAATTTATAGAAAATAACACAAATGTTTATGACACCAAATGATCATATTATAAAATATATTTTATGGTGTATGTAACGATACTAATTTGATTTCATAAATCTTAACATCTTTTCGTTCAGTCAAACTTAAAATGTTTGACTCAAGCAATTGATTTATTCATGGATGGATGGAGTATATATATTGACTATTTGATCAGCCTATAAAGAGTTAAATGCATGAGCGACTCCTGAATTTGTCAAGGGATGCCATGTAGATCTACAAACGTTGAAAACACATTTCTAGGTCCTTAAATATGTTAAGTGGTGCACCGCACATCCCTAAACTTATAAAATAGTGCACTACATGTCCATTTTTGAACCATACTACAGACCACTGCAGTGCACCACTTAGCAAGATTAGGACCTAGAAATGAGTTTTCAAAGTTTGTAGATCTAAGTTGCGCCCTTTGATAAGTTCAGAGGCTGTTCATGCATTTAACTCGCCTACAAATTTCCATTTGTTATTTCTCCAAGACTTGCTTTCCAATATAGTACATGTCTAGCTAGTTTAACACGATGAGGTAATGTAATGAAATGTTTACGGGTATTGAGTGTGTGTTATATATAGTAAGACTACTTCATATATATGAACTATAGGACACAGAATCTGTCAGTACGACTACTTCACAAAAGTTTGAGTAGTGTTAGTAAGACTACTTCATATAGCTTCGTAGGAGGAAAAAAATTAGTAAATACTCTCCCCCTAACCAGGCAATTAAGACAAAGGAAATTAAAAAAAAGTTTTCATACCATATCCAATGTTCGGGCTTGTATTTTGCTAGGAAAATTTACTAAAACCTTAGCTTTTACTAAAGAGTTTTTAAACCAGAGTGTGTTCTTCATATAGTAATAATTTTTTTTGTAATAGTTGCACCTGCTGGATATGCAATTACACGGTAGATATTCTAAGATATGCTTCTATTTCTGATCCTCTTTGGCCATTAGAAAAATATTCAAAGTGCAACCAGAATCTGCAACTTCTCCTATAATGAGGGTCCACCCTGATCTGCTCTTGTAATAACATAGTCCTTTAATACTTGCTTTGTAAGCAAGGAATCATCCATTGGAGTAGTTACTAAAAGACTTGCATGGAGCTAGCACAGTCTCACTCTTGTACCGTCTTGGCACAAATAAGAGCTTGTGTCTATAAACAAACTACCTGGCCTATATCTATATAGTATAGTGATGTGTTTTTCTACGTTCCTATCATTGGTAACGAAACTTCAACATTTAGTATAATTTTTTTCTACCAAATGCCTCCTAGTGAGGATTCTCATGTGCTATGACTAATGGTAGTATTTTATTATTTTTACTACTTAAAACACTAGAAGAACTCCATTATTTTGGTAGTGAAGTTATTAATCTAGAGATAGACCCCCAACTATACTATATATATTGCACAATGAAAACTAGTTGACCTTGCCTAGTCTCATTCCTGCACTGGGGACAGGGTCAGCTAGCAGAAATGTAACAATCCCAAGATGTGAATATAATGTACTCTCTCTATCCCTAAATAACTGTCGTTTTCGCTTTTCGAGAAACAGCTTTGACTAAATATATATGAAAAATAATAATATTTATGGTACAAAATTAATCTTATTGTCCCTAAATAACTGCCGTTTTCGTTTCTGAGAAACAACTTTGACTAAATATATATGAAAAAATAATAATACTTACGGTACAAAATTAATCTCATTGGATAGATCGTTGGATCTATTTTTATAATAAAATTATTTGGAGATATAAATGTTGCATGTATTTTATATAAATCTAATCAAACTTGTGGTACGGAAACAAAAAAAAAGGACAATTATTTAGAGACTGACGGAGTAAACTGTACGCACCCTGCAGCATACTATATCGTGACTATATGAATATGGGCGCACAAAAAAAAAAACAGAATATGTTTGAGCGTATTAGGCGTCTGGTATGTGCTAGCACGACACTGGCTCGATCTGGCTTGTGACACTGAGCTGCAATGGCCAAGACAAAAGGATCAGCGTAGATTCTGAGAATGTTCTCGTGTTCATCTATTGGTGTATGTATATGCATGCATTTTGTCTTTCTTGTTCCTATGCGCATTGCATTGGTTTTGTATTATATTCATATATTTCCATCGTATATACTTATATATACGTGCCTTCCAATGACCATATATGCATGCATACATGCCCGGCCGTATGTGGCAGTGACACGTATAGACTGACACGTACCGTTGCTTGGAAGGTACCAACAAGATTATAATATGCATGCATGCATCTCCACTCCATCAATGTCGTCTGTGAAGTTCGCCGCATTTTGATCGAATTCTTTTTTAGTTATATATATGAATGGTTTAGAACTTGGAATTGTAAAGGTAGCTAGCTACATCATTTATTTGTCTGCAACACATGTATGTACGTGCGTCGTCTTTGACAAGACCGTCCACATATATATAAATATATATTCGTGTATATACATGTAGAGCAAAAAGAGCATGCATGCTCGGTGAACAATGATTAGTAACATCATTTATTCACGCGGTTGATGATCACAGGTCATGGTCGCGATGCAACAATCCTCGGCCGCCTCGAGCTCGTCGACGGCAATGGAGGAGGACGACGACTACGAGCCGCCGTTGATGGCCACGTACAAGCATCTCTTGGACAGTCACCCGCACCGACTGGACGTCGTCGATCATCGGAGCGACGCCGCCGACGCCGACGAGGAGGAGTGCTTCCTCCCGGTGATCGACCTTTCCATCCTGCTGCTGCAGCATCAGCACAAGCAGTCATCAGGCGCCGAGGCAGCAGCAGCAGAGCAGTGCCGGGCGTCCATCGTGCGCGCCGCCGCGGAGTGGGGCTTCTTCCAGGTGACCAACCACGGCGTGCCGCAGGCGCTGCTGGACGAGCTGCACCAGGCGCAGGTCGCCGTCTTCCGGCAGCCCTTCCACCTCAAGGCGCGCCAGCCGCTGCTGGACTTCTCGCCGGAGAGCTACCGCTGGGGCACGCCCACCGCCACGTGCCTGGAGCAGCTCTCGTGGTCCGAGGCCTACCACATCCCCACGACCAATACGACAGCGCCGGCCGCCACCGCCGGTGACGATGACGACAAGACCAGACTAGTGGTCGAGGAGGTGTCCACGTCGATGTCGAAGCTGGCGCAGCAGCTGGCGGAGATCCTCGTCGCAGACCTGGGCGAAAGCATCGGCGAGGACACGGCGGTGGTGTCGCGGTGCACGCGGAGCACCTGCTTCCTGCGGCTGAACCGGTACCCGCCGTGCGCGGCGCCCAGCGGCGCCTACGGGCTGTGCCCGCACACGGACAGCGACTTCCTCACCATCCTGCACCAGGACGGTGTCGGCGGCCTCCAGCTCGTCAAGGCCGGGCGGTGGGTCGCCGTCAAGCCAAACCCCGGCGCGCTCATCGTCAACGTGGGCGACCTCCTGCAGGCGTGGAGCAACGACCGGTACCGGAGCGTCGAGCACCGGGTCATGGCCAGCGCCGCGCGGGAGAGGTTCTCCGTCGCCTTCTTCCTCTGCCCCAGCTACGACACGCTCATCCGGCCACGCTGCGGCGCCGGCGGACCTCCTCGCTACGAGAGCTTCACCTTCGGGGAGTACCGGAACCAGATCAGGGAGGACGTCAGGCTCACGGGCCGAAAGCTCGGCCTGCAACGCTTTCGCAAACCAGAGTAGGCCCAAATATATTGGTAGTAGTTTCCTTTCCTGGTCGTAGTGGGCTACTATTATTACTCACTACGTTGGGCTTGAATATATTTGATAGATATTATTATAGCTAGATGTGACATAACATATAAGCCCAGTAATCTAAATGGGCCTCTAGAAATATAGGGCCCTTATTATTTGGTGTATGTACTATTAGTCACTCAGCTCACTGCTGTCTCTTGTAATTATTTAAGTTATTAGATTATTGGCCGTATATATTTGAAGATGGGGAAGTATATAGGAAAGAATGTACATATGGCTCAAGTTACTCTCTGTCTCAGCTTAATGTATAAATGATAGTCCGTAATTTGTGTATATGTGCTACAAATCTTAATGCATGTATAAATGATGGTCCACCACTATTATATTTGTGTACTATGCTACAAGCCTACAAAAACCAAAAGTACAAAGCATAAGCATGCCTGATGTCCACACGATTCTGCAAGGACCAGGACTCCAGCAGGAGTGGTCTGGTCTGAGCACTGCACTGCGCAATGGAACAGGCCGGCCTGCATTGCTGCAACAGTTTTCTAAATGTCCTTTAACAGCTTCGGCAGCGCGTCGTTGTAAACAAATTCTCGATCTTAATACAAAGATACACAAACCTTAAAAAAATGTTCTTTAAGAAGTGTTGTGTTATGCTTAATTCAGCATGCAAAACTGTGGATTTTAATTTATTTTGTTATAAACATTGTCAAAGTTAAAAAAAATTAATATAAAACTAAAAAGTCCTACATTCTGAAACAGATGCAGCATAAATTTTGTTCATTTTTTTGGTGGTTGGACTATGCGGCTTGAATTTTGGTGGAGTGCATTGCTTAAGCTGGCCACCTTCATTATTGAAATCCTGTATCTGCTACTGCTCAGAGTAAATGCAATATAGTGAAGAGTTCTGACTTTGCAAGGAAAGGCCGTGGGCTCTCGGCACACTATATGAAACAGGCCGGGCCTTCATCACTGCATAACAGCTTTCTAACTGCTCCTTTTGTTGTTAATTAATAAGCAATCATGCACACCATTTCTGATGATTCGGTGGTTCCCCAGGGTGCATGATTGGTAAGGTCATGGACCACGGTCTCTCCTTTACAGGTAATCATGCATGCATTCGTTTCAGGCGGTTGATCAAAAAGTATGTTGTCCCGATAATATGGAGCTAGCTGTTGTCAGGGATGACAAAGGATGGAATATTCCTAGGATTAGAGAAAAAAGAAAAGCTTCTTTGAGCTGGGATAATTCGGACGTGGAATATACTCCCTCAGTCTCAAATCAATTTCTAGAGTTGTCTTAAACTAATTATATTGAAGTATTTTAAATTTGACCAACTTTATAGAATAAAGTTTCAACTTTAGGACACCAAATCGGTACATTATAAAAGTATATTATTTAAGGGTGTATCTAATAATATACTAATTTGGTGTCATAAATTTCGATGCTATTTTAGATAGTATGACTACTTTGAGATGGAGAGGGTATCACTCTGTTTGGCCCTACTTATGATTGATTCTTTTGTTTCTCTTACTCCCTCTATCTTGTAATATGGTGCATTCTAGCATTCAAAAATTATCCTCAAAATATAATGCATTCTAGAGGATAAAAACCAATTTTGCATTAAATACTTTCCATTTATCAACCAATCACCATTAATCACGTTGATGATAGCGTCTGATTAGGAAATAAAATGAGGGTACATGATTCTTTTATGTTCTCTTAATTTGTCTTAAAAATCTTAAAATGCACTATATTACAAGACGGAGGGAGTAAGTCAGAGTTGTACAAGAAAATAGTGTTGTTACTTTCTTCATCACCACCGGTTCTAAACCACTCATCACCACTGGTTTTGGTCCTCGGCGGTGAAAGTCGTTGGTGATAAGATTGTCCATCACGGTCCGTTGAGAACCATGGATTAGGATTTCCATAAATTCTAAAATCAGGTAAAAGTATAGCTAAAAATTAATTTAATCCCGAGAAGCCCCCACCAGCCAGCCTGGTCACACAATTTTTCGCGTGAAAATCCGAGTGCTGCACTAACCACTCCATCACCCTAAGTCACTTATGTCTACGTGGCATATTCATTCCCTATGTATTCCCTTCTCTGGATTTGAAATGAATATTTAGGACCCTAAACGACTTCAGATGAGAAAGTCATCAACTACAAAGTTATTGTTCTAAACGAGATCTACAACTTTGATGTTGGTCGTTTTACCATTCGAGGTCGTTTGACCAATTTCAATTTCCAAGCGTGGGAACTTCAGTCATACTTTTGGGACCTCAAATGATTTCAAATGAAAAAAGTTATCAACTACAAAGTGGTTTTGGTTGATTTTCCATCCGAAGCCATTTGAAAACTTTCAATTTCAAAATTTTAGAACTTCACATACAAATTTGAGATCCTAAATGATTTCTAATAAAAAAGTATTCAACTACAAAGTTGTATCTCTCGACTTTGCTTTTGATCATTTTTTCATCTGAGGTTGTATGTAGAATTCGAAAAAATTGAATTTTAAAATATGAGAGCTTCAAACAAAATTCTAGGACTGTAAATGATTTCAAATAAAAAAAGTCATCAACTACGAGATCTACAACTTTGATAAAAAGTTTGTTTTCATTCGACTTTGTTTCAAAAAGTTATGAGTTTTATTGTGCTCTAGCATAAGTCAAATTGTTGGTGAAAGTGATTTTCACCGCCGGTCCGTAACACAAACTGGCAGTGAAAATGGGTCGACCAACACCAATGGTTCGTAACACAAACTGCGGTAATGATTGGCTATCACCACCGATTCATGTTACGAACCATCGGTGATAATCGCCTCCATTTTCACCAACGGTTTATCACCGCCAATTTGGAGCAAACCGACGGTGAAAATGGCAGCAGTGATTATGAATTCTGTAGTAGTGTTTGAAAGTGGTGGGATGAACGCAGGTGTGGACCTAGGGCCTAGGCTGCCCTGGCTATAGCTCGGATCCACCCAGCACCTACTACCCCTCTTTAATCCTAGCCCAACAACATTGCAAAATTTGGAAGTCTAGAAGGCCCAGCTTTGGCATTTGACCTAGCCCACCAAGCACGCCCTTTCTGCACCTGTGCTCGCCATCCCAGCGGGTGGCTCATCACGGCTTGCGCTCTCCTCTATAGCTCTGCTGGTTGCTTTCGCGTGCCTGTGTTGTCCAGCTTCCGACCTTCGGTGGCGCTATGGCGGCTCCCTGCCTGGCTGGAGGGCGACAGTCCTCCCGAACTTGTCACTCAGCATCTTGACGAGGCGGCGACGTCCCAGACTCAGTCTAGCCGTCTGCAGCCCTACGCCCCCTATATGGCTCCTACTGGTAGCTGCACGACCCTCTCACCCTTGCTGCTAGGTTTGCAACTCTGAACTCTTTGAAGTTTGAAGTCTGAATTGTGAATTTGTGATCTGTATTTAGATTTAGTCTCTGATAATGATTCAATTTGCATTATTGCATACTAGGATGGACAAGATTCTTATTAAGAATGCTTCCAAGATTACTGCCAAAACTAGAGAGAGTCGTGTTGAACCAAAAAGAGGACACATTGAGCTTAATATGAGTGGCATAGTTACTGATCCAATTTTTTTATTTTTAATACTTTTTAAAACTATTTTTAAATCTAACACTATTTTTTTCTTCAAATCTAACACTTTTGGCCACGCCTATTAGCATGGCGCGGCGAATTCAAGTTGCCGCGCCATGCATGGGGGCGCGGCAGAGGTGCGAACATGGCAACATCCCGGCTCACTGGTTGCTGACGTGGTGGTGCCGCGCACCCATCATGGCACGGCAAGGCTGACGCGCCAGCCGCCATGGCGCAGCAAGGCTAACGCGCCCCCAGCCATGGCGCGGCAGTCAAAGCAGCAACAAATAGAACAAGACACTTCTGTTATGTTATCACATGAGCCAAGTTATTTCGTCGTGTTGGTTTAATGAATAGGTCAGCAGCAAGGTTAAGTGCACGAGACAATCAATACACAAGTTCAGCATTACTAACTTGTACACGTCCCAAGTTCATCACAAGTTCGACAATACCTCTGTTCGACATAAGTTCATCAAGTCATAACTATGGCACAAGTTCATCAATACATAAGTTCAACATTACTCGACATACTCCATGTTCCATCAGTATATGGGTGTCCAAGTACAAGTGCATCATGTCATCCTAAAAACTCCTACGACCCAGGAGTATATGGGTACCGTGGACATCGCTGCCTCTTCGAACGTGAAGGCAGCACGTTAGGGGTGAACTCAACGTCGGTACGGTCTCGCTGGCGGTACACCCGGCGGTATTGCTGAGTGTAACTAGGACCCAGCAATTACAATATAGCATCGTTACTTACAATGTTTAAGTAATTGTGACGTATATGGCGAAGGGTTGTTTCAAGTACCTGTTCGTCAAATTATGTAGGAAATGGTGCATCACCAAGCTGAGACATCCCAATCTCATCGTAGTCCTCCTCGTCCTCCTCAACGTCGTGCTCCATAGGACCCTTGCCTGCCTTGCTGGGAGTATGAACATAAGAGGTCCCACCAGCCATCGTGTCGGAGGAACCTACTCGTGTCGGCATAGTGTTCGAGCATAAGGAACTAGACATGTTCGGGTCATAGGGCATCTCCCACGGAGTATCCACGCAGCTGAACTTCTATGTCAGCTTCTTGCAGCTCCTCCTCACTTTCTACAAAAAAAGAAAATACGGATGAATGAGTCATGGGAACCATTTAACCATTGTCATGACTTTGAGAATAGAACATATATCGATGAAGACATGTAGATTGCCATGCGGCTCCCCTCTGGTCTCATGAAGTCGCACGGCTGCTTCGTTGGATAGACTTGTCAACTGTGATGCCTGCATACACAAGCGAGCTAAGTTCGTATCACTACAATTCATAGGAACGTCGACGTGCAGTTGTATGGAAATTTAAATTTCTTACCACGTATTTCTGTAGTGGGGCTCTCTGAAGCTATG